TTTTTGGCGCACATTTTTCCAAAAAAAAAATTTATATAATTTTGCGACACTTTCTTTTGAAATATTTGTAACGAAAAATTAATCGTTCATCCAACTCTTTAAGAATTGTATCTCAAAGGAATGTGTAAAATTTCGTGAAGATCGATTGAGTAGTTCTCGAGTCTACCGGCTTCAAAAACACAGCTTCGAGACAAACGCGTTTAAAGACGGTAGCTAGCTGCGAGCTCAGAATTTGTCAAGGCGTATCGCCGAAAGTATTACCGGGATCAACTTGAAAATTTAGGGTAATATTTTAGAGGTGTTACAAAATTCAATAAGACAATAAAACTTGTTGAAACCCGTTAACCCATGTAACCCCTTTAACGTGAATCACATTAAAGGCTATTCCGGAAATTGACTTTAAGAATTATTTCGAGGATTTGAAAAAACGTTAGCGCAAATGCATTGGGGCCAAGGGGGATTACTTTGAGAAGAACGACATAGACTTTGAAGAATTTTAAATTATGAACAAAGTCTTAAATGTTCTTTACTCATAGTAGTATTAGTGAACTTTGGAAGGCCACCGAGTTTTCAGTTAATTGAAATAGTAGAATACTCTGTTTATTATATTTGAAGTGCTGTCTAATTGACACGAAAAAACTGAATTCTTAGATTATACTTACGTTTGCTCCATTTTGTTATTTTGTTATTCCAGCGAAGTGGGGTTATCTAAATGTGCATGAAGTTTTTAGAAAAACATATTTTTTTATACCTGATTTTGAATGAAATTCATTTTAGATGTTTGATTTCGAATACTCCAATATAAGTGACTGATTGTTTGCCAACCCTCTTGATTTCAATAAAATAGAAAGTATATTCTGTGGATTTGCAGACCTTTTATTATTCTAGCGCGTGTTTGTTTGTCCATTGTTTGCAAGAGAACGCTGATGACTTTAAATTATTTTCACTTTTAATTTAGTTATCTTCTTTTATTTTATTAATTGCTAATGAGTATATACAGTACGTCGGTATTTTATTCTAAATAATTCTGAACTGGGTGCGCCAGCTTTCATATCAATATTTAATAATTTGGACAGCTAAATATTATTAAAAGTCGGCTGTTATATCCCACTTTCTTACCGAAGTATCGCGCACCCTTTACATTTGCCTGGTTGCAAAACAACAGACCACAAGCCAAAGTTAACAAGCTCTCGAATATGCGCTAACGCCGTAAAATCACAAACTAAACAAAATAAGAAATAGTGTGCTATTTACATTTGTCTAATTATTAAATATTTATTGCATAATACTATGTATTACATACTCTTATATATACTATAAATGATGCGCATACTTATTTACAGTAATGTTTCAACAAATTCTAATTTGCCAAGCTTCATTATCAGACATACAGTCCTACATACAAACATTCACACTACAATATAGTATGGTTATTTATATATTTATTATGTATTTTATAGCTATACTCAGTATATTTTATGCACGCGTTAGTTCTCAGTAATTATTGTTTCGATTAATAATATAATTAACTCGGTGGTTTTTTCACCAATTATTCCGCATGGATTTTTCCAAACAAATATTTGCTTTTTCTATAATTTTATACTCTTTGTTTTCTTTATATAATATTTTATTAAAGCCTATTTACTCATACATACAATGCTGCGTTCTTTTAACAATTTTCAGTTACCTGTATATTTATTATTACACATGTGTATATATTTTTATTTTATATATGTATTTGATATTTATATCGTCTTTGGTAAGGTGGGCAGTTGATTCAAATAACCACTTAAGGATATTTTCTTTTGTAAGTCGCCTCCACATGGCTCTTGGGTTTTTTGCGGAGCTTCTGTTATGTTAATAATGAAATCAGTGTCTAAAATTGAACAGAAGGGATCTAAATTCGAACTGCCATTGAACCTCATTCTCAACTGTCAGGAGTAAAAAAAGGTTAACATAAATGATATGAAATGGATACTAACGAAATTTTGTTTTTATAAATCGCTTAAAAATAGTTTGGTAATTACGAAATTATTGGTAATTTTATTCTAGCGGCAGCTTTTTGATTTTTGTTTCTTAATTTTTTTTATCGTGTTCCAAAAGTACACAAAGTTCGCCTTAAAGTTCTGAGCTCTTCCACTAGATGGAAAAGTCCTTCACATCGTAAAGTAAAAAGTAAAACAATAAACACATAAAACTTAATTTTTTTTTTATAAAATGGCAGTTAGTCAAAAATATATAATTCAATACACTACAATACGTCATATTGTGCCAAACATGCCATTAAACAATTCATACTTTCCGGCTCCTAGGTGTACCGTGACTTCATATTGCGTGCGTCTCTGGCATCGTTCGTAAATATAATTGTTCAGAACGGATTTGACAGAAATAAACTGTTTATAAAGTTTCTTTGTCTTTCTGTGAACATATCACGATCATTATTGATCAGGAAAAAAATTTTCGTTCGACAATTTTTAGAGTGTGCAATTGAAAATTTGTCTGATAAACGGGTCTAGAAGAATGTGGGTTAGGGTGTATTCTTAGATATAGAAGTGGTTAAAGCCTAAGGATATACTTACTAAACAAACAAAAGAAAACAAAAACATAATTCCGATATCCTTCACATACATGGGATGTATGGATGATTCAAGTGAAGGCACTTTTCCAATAGCCTTTTTTTTGGACAGATCATGTCCAGCTTTCATGTTATTTTTGTTCAGAATTGTTGGGCATTTCATCATGGAAAGACTTATGCCTGAACGACGTTCTTAAATCGTTCAATTTTATTACAAAATTACGTAGCTGAAAGTGTACACGAAGACAGTGGAGAGTCGATTCGGCACAGAAACTCGGACTGACGTATGGAACGACTTGGCGCATTTTACATCCCGATCTTATATTAAAAGCATACAAAGTACAGCTTGTGCAAGAATTGAAGTCACTCTATAAAAACGAAACCGTCAATAGCGAACATTATCGTGCAATAGTAACCGTCTATTTGATTACTGAAATTTAAGCTCGTGATCTTGGCGACATTTGGTTTCATCAGTACGGTGCGCATTAATCAATAGATCTGTTGAGAGCACTTCGGTCAGCAGATAATTTTGGCCATAATCGAATGATATCACACAGTTAGACTTTTTTCTGTGGGGGATAAGTAAAGTTTAAAGTCCTTGGAGTAAAACATCGCACGTGTTATTCGCAGTTACCAGTCGAAATTTTCGAACGAGTCATCGAAAATTAGATTCAACGGATTGGCCATCTAAGACGTAGCCATGGCCAGCATTTGAAAGAGAAAATCCGAAGAAAATAAATGCCAAATGTTCTTTCGAATGATAATAAATAGTCGTCATTTAATTTGAAGCTTCTTTGTTCTGTAGGGGGTTTCTATATAGAGGGAGTGAAAGCCTAACGATATACCTACTGAACACAAAAAATCATTTTTTGGATATCACTCACACTGAGAATGTTTTGAAGGGTTAGGTGATTATCGAAATTATTTGTCCTATAGTCCCTATCAGAGCATCATTTCTCCAATTTTCATTATTTTTATATTGACATCAGGAAACAATTCGCTGAAAGGATTTTTTTATTTAAATCATTGCTAAAATCAAAGTGAATTGAACGCAATTCATTTAAACGCAAACTTTGTTGTCATAGTTTGGGCTTTTCTGCGAAATTTTGGGAAATGTAACAAGTGCATCCACTCGATTCCCTTGATTTTTAGGAAGTATATCTCTGTAATTTAATATTTATGATGATCTATTATTAAATTTTGAAAAAAAGCTATACCATCCTCTGATTTAAACCTACAATTTGTTAAAAAAAAAAAAACCGATTAATAAAGGTATCACAATCTTAAAGTAATCTCAGTATTTTTTAAAAGTTAGCATGTAAGAACTTCTTCTTAAACTTGTAGTTATAAAGCCATGGAGGACTCGGGAAACATAACTATATGGTATTCCTTCTCTGACTTGATTATACTTTCCACATAGTAACTTGCAAGAGATAGATGATTCTAACTGGATAAGCGTAGCTTCGGTAACACGAACTCTTGAATTGGTAATAGAAGTCAAATTTCATACAAGTTTTTTTCCATAACTAGAAGTTTTTTAATGTAATAAGGATTTGAGTTAGGGAAGTTCAACTGTACAAATAATTGCTTGGATGCCAATCTCCTGGTTGACGTTTGTATCTTAATTATTCTCTTGACTTTGATTCTGTCTAGTTGTGAGAGTATGAGATGTTCGGTTGTACCCGGAATTAGTCCTTAAGAAGTAAGTCTTTTATTTTTCAGTTTTTTGAAGAATTTTGTGTTAAAAAATATAATCGTTTGGAGAAAATTGAAGAAGTTACGAATATTTCTATATCTGTCCTAAAATGCAGCTTCAAAAGACTACACCGATCATTTTGAAAATTTTAACATTAATTTCGTGAACAATTTGTAAGCTAATGACGGTTAGTTTTTTTTTTATTTGTAAATAATTTTTATTTTTCAAATTAGTTTTACAAATTTGCTGATTTTATTTTGCGAAATTCACGTTTTTCTACTCAAAAATTAAAAAAAAAAAAAAATATATACAAATTATAATTTCGAAAACAAAACTCTCAGTTCATATAAGGGGTACCACAATCCGACTTTTTTCCGTGACACACTCCAATAATTGCCGCCATTGCTACAGTTGCCATATTTCCCCATGAAACTTCTATAAAACATGCCAACTGCTACGTATAATTGGTTTTAATAAAAATATTTTAATTTCGTCATCACAAAATATTCACAAAAACATGGCTGGTTTTGCTCGAATTAGCCTTAGAATCCCCAAAAAAATATAAATTCGCGTCATATCAATAAACTGTAATAAAATCGTGTAACCATTTGACTTGAAAATTTTGTAAAAAATTTTGTCACGTTTTACATCCTGTCTGACCTCTATAAAGCAATATAATTTATTTAAAATTTGTTACTTAAATTCTGAGTAAAAATTTTGCAGCAGAAATCATAATCTGAGTTGGTTTAAGAAATGCTTAGAATAATAGAAAATAAATAAAAAATTATTCTATTGAGTAATAAAATTCAATTTATAATATTGCACCAATTTGCTGCCCACCACTGTACATGCCGCTAATTATTTACATACGTGATATTTAACAGTTACATTGATTGATATGAATACTACTTTAACCCCTGCTTGATTTCATAACTATTATTTATACTTACTTACAAATACTATGCTATATTTGAATATTTAACTACTTTTTAATGCTCTCCCCCTTCTTCCTCTCAGCACTCAGGACCGCATCTACTTGCTTTATTGTCTCCGTTCGGGTAATCATCTACAAACAGTGCTGTCATCACCGGCGCATATCGAATGCGGCGCGGCCAGGAATAGTTTGCCGTTGGAGCAGGCGCACAGCTGGAAGACACGATGCAAATGGTCACGGCTCTGTGGCGCCCCCAGTGGCGGTGGCTGCGCCGTACGCAGATTCGGCATAAGGATTTTCGCGGACTCCAGGCGCAGCTGTGGCACGCGATTTCATTGGAAGAGGTAAAGTGAAAGCAAAAGAAGAAAATAAAAATTATATATAATGATATTTGGAAGTGATGGAGCGCAGAGCAGACTCTAAATTAATGTGGTGATAATGAGTATTCATCTATATGGTACTATATATACTTGTTTATTTTAAGGTACATCTTTAAAGTATCCAAATTACCACTTACACTTCCGTCCAACGCACTCAGTCGCACATCTTTCAGCGCAGCCACTTCTATTGCACCAGCGCGCGACTGCAAATTTATATCCTTGGCAGCAGTTAGCTCAAGCTGTCGTGTAGGGGACTCCAGTCTAGCAAAAAATAAAAATAGAGAGACCACTAAGTGAAGGGAAACGTATTTTGCTGAAATCATAAAAATAGCCAATATTTATAGTTTAGACCTCAAAGGCACCCAGTTGATTTGGATCTAAAGCCACTCCCAGATTACTAAAGAACACATTTTTCCTTATTTTATTTTAGTTTAATTTATTTTATTTAACTTTCTATTACTTTGGTCTAAGGTTTTGAATATTCTTATAATTAAAAAATATAATTTTTATGCGAAATATTCGAATACCCTTCACAGGTTCATTTTTTATAGCATAAAAATTTATAAAAATAAATCTATTTCTATTTTGGTGGGTCATATTGTCTGTCGGCTTTATCCTATAGAGTTCCAATATCGGCGACTCTGAGAAATGAGCACCTCCTGGAGCAGATAAGGACATGCTCATGAACTGAAGGACTAATTCGCGTTTATGTATGTATACTGACCGACAGACGGACATGGTAGAATCGACTCAGATCATATATTTATTTATATACTTCATAGCGCCTACGATATTTGCCTCTGGGTGTCACAAACTTCTGCGGAAAAAATGACAACGATGGTGTTACGAAAGTAGGTTAAATTTCGAATGCGAACCAGATGTTGTTGTTTTTCAGTTACAAAATTTTATTATTTATATGTTAAGATTACTTTACTCCAACAACTAAAACATTAAATATTAATGCATGAAAGTTACTTAAATAAATGTTTAATAGTTTAATTACAACTAATTAATTTAATAAAGTAGGTGTTTTAATTGCTGCAGGAAGAAAGGAAAAACATGTAAGTATAACCAATGAACAAAAAAAAAAAAAAAGTGTCATAAGTAACTCCCGATGTCACTGCCATATATAGAAATACAACATTTGTAAATAAATCAGAATATAAATGAAAAGCTTCTTCTAAAGTTAACTTCCAAATTCCTTTAATTGACACCAAAATGATCAAATTTGACTAACATTTCCCGATTTTTCAAAATTCCTCTTTAATCCCTCCAATTTGTCAATAAAATCCTCAAAATCGGTTAAGATTTGCCAAAATTACGAAAAAATCGCTATTTTCTTCAATTTCACCAATTTTCCAAAACCCCTTTAATTTGACACCAAAATCTTCAAAATTAGTTAAGATTTGCCGAAATTACGAAAAATCACAATTTTCCTAATTTCCACCAATTTTCCAAACTCCTTTCAAATCCCTTTAATTTGAGGCCAAAATCATTAAAATCGGTTAAAGTTTACCGAATTTTCGAAAAAATCGTTATTTTCTTCATTTTTACCAATTTTCCAAAACATCTCTTCAATATCTTCAATTTGACACCAATATCTTTAAAATCGGCTAAGATTCACCAATTTTTCAAAATTCTTCTTCAATCTCGCATTCCGACACCAAAATCATCAAAATCGGTTCAGATTTGCCGAAATTAGGAAAAAATCGTTATTTTCTTCATTTCTACCAATTTTCCACAACTCCTTTCCAACCCCTTTAATTTGACACCAAAAAAGTAAAAATCGATTAAGATTTACCAAGATTATAAAAAAAAAAATAATTTTTCTTCATTTCTACCAATTTTCCAAAACTACTCTCAAACCCCTTTAATTTGAYACCAAAATCATTAAAATCGGTTAAGATTTGCCGAAATTACGAAAAAATTACAATCTGGTCACCCCAGMCACACGGCGGCGCAAACCAAAAATTTCATTTCCCAAATCGCCAATTTGCACCAGGCACSCAGAATCGCCCAGTAGGTAGCTGCCGCAAAAAAATATTTTTTCCTGTAGCCTACCTCAAAGGCGCAGTAGGAACTGCGTTACCGCCATATGCAGGACAACCGGAACTGAAGGCTGATGCCACGTTTACATGAATAACTTCCMTAATTCCGCACCGATTTCGATCGTTCAGGCACCAAATGAAAGGGCAAGCGTGCAGCTACACAGTTAAATACTAATGAATTATAACAAACTACAAATAGAAGATATTTTTTGAAGAAAATGTGTCGAAGAAACTGTATGATAAAAAAAT